GAGCTAGTGTTTAGGGTTTAGGGTTTAGGGTTTAGGGTTTGCCGCTATGGGGGCTGCAGTCGGCCGCCAGCGCTGCATGCAGCTGTCTCTGCAATAAACTGTCTTCTGACCTTTTTCAAGCTCAATAATTAGGATTTAGGGTTTAGGGTTTAGGGTTTAGGGCTTGAGGTCGAGCTTCTAGGGTTTAGGGTTTGGAGTCACTCCAGGGTTCCTTCGAGCGCCCCCCAGAATGTTCAGGCTAAAGTTTAGGGTTTAGGATTTAGGGTTTAGAGCTACGTTTATCTGGTGGTTCTTCTGTTGCTGTTGCTGCTGCTATTGCTGCTGTTGCAGCTTTTGCTGCCGGTGCTGCCATTTTTTGCGAGAGCGCTAGCAGCTATTCCTGCTGCTGTTGCCAGCAGCGGCGACAGCAGCAGCAGCAGCAGCAATACACTGCAGCAAATGAGAGCTACTCTTTCATTTAGTCATATTTAGAATGTTAAGCAGAAACAGAAGGCTATGCTGCTGTCAAAAAGCGCAGCAGCAGCGCCGAATTCGCAGGGACCGCAGCACAGCAGCAGCACAGCTCCAGCAGCTGCTGGTGCAACAGAGCACCAGCAGCAGCAACATACCAGCAGGAGCAGGAGCAGCAGCAGCAACACACCTGCCGCAGCAACAGTGGATGCAGAAAGCTGCACAGCAAGTGTGGCCGCAACAGCAGCAACAGACAGCAGAAGCATCAGCAGCACCAGGAAAAGCAGCAAAAGCGGCAGCAGCAGCAGCAGCGGCAGCAGCAGCAGCGGCACACAGGGATGATCAGTGGACGCAACGGGGCACCTGAAGCTTAGCAGCACAGCAGCTTGTTAGCTAGCTAGCCAGCTATCCAGCTAGCTAGCTAGCCAGCCGGCTAGCCAGCCAGCTAGCCGGCTAGCTAGCTACGCAGCTAGCTAGCCAGCTAGCTAGCCAGCCAGCTAGCCAGCCAGCTAGCCAGCTACCAAGGGAACTACACACGGCAGAGGAAACATACAGCAAGAACAAACGAGCCAGCTAGCTACTTCGACACTTAGCTAGCTAGCTAGCTAGCTAGCTAGCCAGCTAGCTAGCTAGCTGGCCAGCTAGCTAGCTTGAAGGCAAATGCGGGGAGAATTCAGTTAACAAAAAAACGTTAACAAAAAGAGGAGGAGCAGCAGCAACTTCGAAGCAGCAGCACATCTCTGCTGCTGGTTGCTGTCCAGCTGTCAGGGAGCTCCTACTGCAGTGCTGCTGCTGCTGCAGTGCTGCTGCTGCTGTTGCGCTGCACAAGAAACCGCTGATAGCAGCGACACTGTCCACTGTACCAGCAGTCAAAGCAGCCGCAGCAACAGCAGCAGCAGCAGCTGCAGCAGCAAAAGCTGCTGCAGCCTGAATCAAAAAAATTGGCCGCAGCATCTGCTGCTGCTGCTGTTGCGCTTGCTGCTGCTGCCGTTGCCGCTTCTTGGAACACGAAGGTAACGCTCTGCTGCGCTGCTGCTGCGCCTCGCGCTGCTGCTGCTGCTGCTGCACGAGTTCCTGTCTTCTAATGTTGCTGCTGCAAGGCTTTGCTGCTATTGATAACTCTGCTGCTACAGCTGCTGCTGCTGCAACCATTGCTGCTGCTCATGCTGCGCCTGTTGCTGCTGCTGCTGCGACTGCTGCTGCTGCTGCACTCGCCATTACAAATACATCTGCAGCATGCTACGAACGCTGCGAAGACTGCTGCAGCAGAAGCTGCTGCTGCAGCTGCTGATGCTGCAGTTGCTGCTGCTGCACGCTGGCACTTGCCGTAGATGCTGCTGCGGCAATTGCTACCGCATCGCCGGCGATGCTTTTGTTGCAACAGCAATTACTGCTGCCATGCCGGCGCTGCCCTTGCTGCAGCTACCTCTGCAGCAGCAGCTGCTGCTGCTGCAGCTGCTCATCCCTGCCTTACTAGCATACTAATGAATAAATACTTTGTGCTGCTGCTGTTTCTTCCCAGCTGCTTTCGAAACTATTGCTGCTACAGCGCCGCTGCTGCGGTGCTGCCGTTGTCGTTGCCGCAGTGCTGCTGCTGCGCTGCAACACTGCTGCTTTGCTGCTGCTATGCTGCTGCTTTGCTGCTGCACTGCTGCTGCTCCGCTGCTGCGTGGACTACATTTTCGCTATCCTACTGCTGCTGCTGCCTTGCTGCTGCGCATCCTCGCTGCAGCAGCATCGCTTCTGCTATACATTTGCTGCTGCTGTTGCTACTGTTGCTGCTGCAGCGCTGCCTGCTGCTGTTGCTGTACTCAAATGCAGACTGCCGCTGCTAATACTTTGGGTGCTGCTGCTGTGCTTCCAGCAGCACTTGCTGCTGCTCCAACTGCCAAAGCACCTAATGCTGCTGCTACCT